AACTATACAATGTTGTAGAAAATTATAAAAATTCCTCCATAAGTCTTATAAGATCATACTTGAATTATTCGGTACGATTTTAGCAGGATGTGAGTGTGTGTGTGAATCTTCTCTTCAGATACTCTCACACCCATCCCACTCTCAACTTTCATAGCATTCAGTCTGATAATAAATGGAGTAGCGGGAAAATATTGCTTCAAATAACATTTTTTCCTTCTATCTAGTTTCGTACATTACACATAATAAGCAAATGGATTTTGTCTTGAGCCATTTCTGTTTACTGTTTCTTCTGATCGTATTTTGATGTCAGAATCAACGAAATTTTGAAATTTTATGAGACTTCTTTTGAGAGCAAGAGTAAAAACGAAAAATAATAATAGAACAGTGGATGGCAGTCAATCTCTCCGTGTTGCAAACGAATGTAGTCAGTCATGTTGTTCTTTTACATATTTGTTGACAATCCATCTCCAAGACATTAAATATCGATCATGAGTATCTTAAATAAAACGATTTTTTATTTTAGTTATTGAGAACTTGTTCAACATTTTAAAAAAATATTAAATCGTAAAACGATATGGAACACAAAGCCATCTGTCATCACTAATGACTGAAGCAAGTTTTGCTAATAAATCTATCTATCCTGATTAATAAAATAGAAGTGAATCCGAGTAAATTTCTATAGAGATAGTCCAACTATCGATACTACTAATAATGACCTGAGAAAGCATTACAAACATAAGCGGTAGACTCATGTTTTAGGCGAATATTGTTCTATTAAGTTTTGTCTTGCAGAAAATCGAATATATCATAGAATGGCAACAGTTGGAAAATGTTACATTCACAGAAGTCTTTTAGAAATTTTAAAAAATTGTTATTTTGAAGACATACTTGGAAATAAAACCTATAGAGCTTTGTCTAACATATTAATTCTTGATTTGTCATCCAGTATTCGGCTTGCTTACTAGAACTAAAAGAGATCTATTGATTTATCTATGATTCATAGATTCCCATCCGCAAGCATAGGTGCAATCACACAGAAGTCTAATATCCCAGCACCCAAATAGATCTATTTTCGCATACTCATTCTATGGTCTATGTCAACTCTCACGTCGTAGGTAGCTTGTGAAATATGATATAATCTACAACATGAGGTACTTTTGCATCGCCATACCTGCACACATTCTCATCTAATCGCCATAAGGAATATCAAACAAATAGATCCGATTAGACTCTTCAAAAGCAGATTTCTGTAGGAATGTAGTCTTGTTCGTTGATGGAAACCAATGCGTCATGCATCAATTGATATAGCTTGTCGAGTTCTACGAGTTATTGTGAATGACGCGTTAAGTACAGTGAAGTTGATATAATTTAAGCCAAATAACACAAGCTTTTCTGGCAATGTGTTTTTGAAATGGAATTTTGTTTATTTCTCTTAGAAATCCATAACTGGAATATTTTCCAAGTTTGAGTGCGTAAATCTCATTCGGAACATCTAACTTTCATCTAAGCCTAAAATGACTAGTAAAATGTAACTTATATTTTTTCAATAGAATTTTGATCTGAATTCTTCATCACACATTTCTTTCGACAAGAGATTCAATGTGATCGATGAATTTCTTTTTCCCTATAATGAAATCAGAGAAAATAGCAAGCATGTTCTTTATGGGAGACTCAATAAATTATTATTAATGAATTTTATTTAAAAAAATATTTTTTATTTCAAAATGGTTTCAAATAAAAAATGAGTATTTGTTGATATCTCTATGATTTATTTTCAATATTTTCCTGTCGAATATAAGACAAATATAGAAACTAACTTTAGATTCGAATTTCTTGAACGAAAAAGCAATTAGTCAAATGCTATTTGAAAAACATGGCAACTTTCCAGAACCTCATTCTTCTTAGCTAAAAAGTCACTTTTTCAGGTTTTCCGTTACTCAATAACGTGACGGTAATTGATTATCCTTGCTTTACGATACTATATAAAGCAACATACATACATTCAATTTCATTCTTTATGTAAAAATTACAAATGTTACTCTTCTTTCTATTTACAAGGTATCCCAAAAATAGTACTACAATAAAAAACATGAAATAGCTCTGTATCAGTTTAATGAAATGGACTGATTTTTCGGTGGGTGGTAGAAGTTTATTCAAAGTTTTGTTTTTGTACGGCTAAGACAAGCAAATACTATTGTGTAGCGTTTCATAGATATTGTCTGTTTTCATCTAAGAGAATAATAAGAACAAGCCAAAACGAACTTCATGAATGATTCCGTACAGATGTACACAGAAAATTTGAAAAATACCATCCATTCAAAAATTCAATGAACTTTGTTGTATAGCAAATAATCTAGGTATAAAAGTAGCCAGCAATCTGTGGTTTTAAGTATTCGAAAGAAGAGAGAGAAATTTTTATCAACATATTTGTGAAAAATCAAACAATCGACTAGTGCTAAGTATTGGTCAGGATTCAGTGACGATTTTGGCAATCATGCCATTAGAAATTTTCTCATTAATCGTTTAAGTTGTGTACTATGATGAAATGGTGGTTTTGGGGTTTCCTTTTCAAAGAAACATGAAAAAATTCGTCCAACATTTTAAAATTGTCAGTTTTAGTTAAGGATTATGGTTGAATAATGGATTTTTATAATATCGACTTAATTAACTCATGTTACTATAATAAAAGAAAACAAGCATTAGTACCACTTATTTTATACTGATCAACATCTTCAATATCAATTCATTTCAAATTGATCCGTGGTCAATTGAACACTTCTGATAGTTTCAGGATAATACTTATCACTTGACAATGGAACCATTTAGAAGAATCACCGTCACCTGTACCCTCAAGTTATGTAGTCTCAGATATTGAGGAGTGAAAAGAAAAATTCTAATCTCAGATTGGTAGCGTCTTATATCGAAGGTAGTGTTAAATCTATTTGTACAAATTACTTTGTGACGCAAAGGTACTCGATATTAAGTGATCATTTTGGGTACCAGGCTATTATGATTCCTGCCATAGCTCTTATTCGAGCGTACCAATGGATACAATGAATTTCAGGGAGGGACTAGGACATTTCCGACCGGTTCTCATTTGTTGTTCCAGAGAATTTTCTGCAATTTCCTGAGCTTTGCCAACAGAATCCGAATGAGTTTCTGTACGATGACTTTCCAACCCGAAATACTGCTTCCAGTAAGAATCATCGACTAGAATTTCGAAACTTAGAAAAATGTCCAACAAAGTAAAATAATGAATAATTAAGGAGACATTTCGTAAGCACAAGCAGAGATGAAAATGAGGGTTTTTTAATAAGTTCAATTTCTGGTGCTTATAATTATTATGTAACCAAAGTCTTATCTCATAGATTTTTAAATATTTTATCTTGATTTATTGCTTTTTGGATCTCTTATTGTAGTGTAAATAGTATGTTGTGATAAAAATAATGATTTAGAATGCACTGTATAATTTCTTGATTAACAAATGTCTTTTATTAAAGCAAAGAAAAGCAGAACAATCAAGTACAAAAACGTTGGTATTATTATGATTGAAATAAAATACAAGATTTGTTAGTTTGAATAAATATGGTCGGAAAAAAAACAAGTGCCTAACTCGTTGATTGTTTTTCTGAAAGAATATAAAATTGAGCAAGAAACTATTTACGTTTTTTCGTCGAAAAGGTAGTAGAATTAGATAGTTTAAATATTTAGAAAATTTTGTTGACGCAGCTCCTTTGGGACTGAAATGTGGAACTTACATATATCCTTTAGCCTCATTAAACTAATACGAAATACAAAATGAAAAATCTACAGTAGATCTTACGCTCTATTATATATGTTAATCGGCTCACAAATACTCATTTACTTTATCCTTGGTCGATCACTTCAACCTGAAACGGCTATAAAACGACTAATTACTGCATTAATTATGATCTTATTTCGCCGTAACTCATCATGCTGTTTTACAAGTCGTTTTTATCGCTAGAAAACGATCATCATTTTTTTACATTTTACATTGTTATTACGACGTTTAAGACCATTTGCGACACACTTTTCTTGGACCTTGATATTGTTCAAAAGTATAACTTGTTCAATTTTACAAGAAAACTTTAGAAAGTCTGACACCTGTTATTCTCGATTTCTAAAGTCTGTAATAGGATGGCGGGGAGAATCGCAAAAGTTTGACTTAAAATTTACACTCATTACTTTTTTTTTTGAAAATATATGTGAGTTCCACAAAACAAGAAATAATCATTTACAATTATCACCGAGATTTATTTATTAGACTAATGTTTTGAAGAATTCGATTGATCAAGAAGAACTACACACTCAAAGGTTTCTCAAATTTAAATAAAGCTCATATGACATAAAATTTAATAGTTCAAACACTTGAAAGATATGTCATCAACACAAAGTTATTTAGAGTGACAAATAAACAATATCAATTAAAGAATAAAAAGATTTGATCTAATAAAAGCATTCCGATATTATAGCTAACGAAATTATTCTATGTATTAGCTTAGGCTTTTTCTTTGTTATTCTATTTAGAATTTATGATCAAAGAAAGTTATAGCTGATGTAATGAGACGTACGCAGTTTCATCTTAAATAAGTTCATACTTAGACATGCATGATTTTATCTTCGAAATAGACAAAAGCCACCGCACAATACAAGAATATGTATTTTCAGGACAAAAGATATTAATCATATGGATTTAGTAATTTTTACAAGCCATATTACTAATATAAATATTCGTGTAGTTTTTTTCTTGATCAATCTCATTGAGATGATAAAATGACTCAAAAGAAGAATCTGAATTTTCAAATAATTAAAGTTTAGAAAAAACCTCAAAAAATAGCCTCAATTAAAATAATATTCATACTAACAAATCTTAATACTTGTAAAAACAAAAAAAACAAAAAGAAAATCAAGAATATGATATTATCTAACTAACGTGATAACTCGTTGAGTTTCCAGATTAATCTTATTTTTATATATCATTATAATGCATCTGAAAGACAAAGTAATTGTCCAAGATTATCATAAGTTGTATCAACAAGTTCTTCCTCATTCAGTAATTCACCTGCATCAGTTATCAATGGTAAAACTAAAACAAAACAAAAAAAAATGAAAAGAAACTAAAATATCTTTCGATATAAACAGATTACTTGGTCTTTCAGCCACAAAATCAACTTCAATCTTAATGAACATTTTATTATTTTTAACATAATGACTTTCATTTTGTTTGAATAGATCAAGAGGGAAAAATTTTGAAATACCATAAGCGATATTCATATCGCTTCTTGGGCATTGAAAACTATTTGATTTTGTATCAGGCCAAAGAAAATTTGTATGATTATTATTCGATGATAAATGATTAAGTAATGTAAATATTATTTTGAATTGGAATGGCCAATGAAGAATATAATCATAATTACCTCGCATTAATACAAAGTACAATGACATATGTGTACCTCTTGCTTTAGCATCTCCATTTAAAAATAATCTCAAACAAATTTTATAACCATTTGGAAATATATAAAACGAAGAAGAATATATAGATTTTTGTTCATCAGACGCAGAATTATCTAAAATGGATTAATAAAAAGATAAAATTATTAAAAAAGTTGTTTTACTATATACTTTTCATATCTGAGATATCGGAAATGCCCCATATACATGTGCCATTCAACGATGTCATCGATACATTTGAATCCAATGGGGAATGATTATGAAGTAAAATTTCTTGATTCATTCCAGTTAAATCTTGTTGATAAGAAATATTTACATCTTGATTAAAAATGGCACAAGTGATTAATTGATCATGTTTTTGTTTGAAATGTACCTAAAAACGAAATAAAAAGTGTGTTCTATTTAAAAAACAGTATAATCAATATCTTATACATGATAATCTTCCAATGATCCGGTCCATTCGCAACTTGAGCAGCCTATAGACAAATCTTGTATTTTCATTTGCGAATCTTGAACCAACGAAACCTTGAAAATGAACATAGTAATTCAGAAAAATGATATACATCACTTATTATATATACTTTATCACGTGAGATCATTTTGAAACATCTTGCACAACTAATAGTATTAAAACATATGTATATGTTAATAGAATAAAAAAAAAGAAAATATTTACTTCTCTTGAATATTGACACATACTTTACATTGCTGATGTTCACATTCAAGTCTATAAAGTTGTTCATAAATTAACTTACACGATGGACAAATAAAACATGGAGCAAAGTCTTTGATATTCTTTGCAGGTAAACCATATAATGGTGTGGGTGTACATTGTTTTAAAAATGGAGAAAGATGATTGAACATACCCAGTTTTTTAAGATGAAGACGATGTTGTATTATTGAAAGAATAGCATTGATTGTGCTTCGATCAATTGAATTCGATGAAACAAGCGTTTTATCAAGTTCAACTTTTTCAAATTGTCGTAATAAATCATATATAGTATAAAATTCTACCTTTTCACATTTCGATTGAAAACGACGTCGGATTCGTTTTAATTCATTGAAACCATCGTAAATAACATCTATCTGTAGAACTTGTGGGAATTTATAGATAGGATCATCCATTAAGTATTCGAGACAATCCAAAGGAATGATCAAATGAAATGTATCTGTTTTCGTAATATTTTCTGATACATATTTGATCAATTCAGATATATTAACAAATACCATGGTAAACAAAGCTTTAACGTCATCTGGAATAGGCATCGTCCATACTACCAGAAGTTTGTTTATATAATTTTCTCTGCTAATGGCAGTCATATTATAATACAATGAAAAAAATATATACTACAAACAAACAAAAATTAATAGGCATTGAAACCTAAATATTAGCAGTAAAAATACAGAAATGTATCAAATAAAATTTAATATTTTATTATGTTTACAGAAAACGTAAAAAGTAGGAACGAATAAGCAGATATTTTGACTGTTCAGAATTCTGCGATCGATCTGATCGATTTATATATGAGATAAAAACGCTATAGTTAGCAATTAACTTGATTCGAGATTTGAATTATATGGTTAAAAAAATTACAAATAAATCAATTAAACATAGTCTACCTCCAATATTGACATTATCGCTAAGAAAAACCAAAGTCTGGCGAACATATTGGTATGTCAAACACTTTTAACACTATTAAATGAATTATAACAGTGATGTTGTGAAGCTTCCTTTCATGGAAAACTGAAATACATAGTCAATATGTTCATTTGTAGTCAAACCTTTTCTGATCATATCTCAATAAAGTTGGCTAATGAATAGCTCTTCTTTTTTTGTTATTATTTGTTAAATAGAAATTCTTAATACTACTAAGGTATTGTAACCTGCTACACAACTGCTTTTGAATATGATTTATAGAAGAGTACTATAACTTGTATTGTTTGCAACTTCAATTTAAGAAAACTCAAATGTAAATGTCAAATGACAGATAATTTTTGTGTATCCAACTCATATATGAAGCGGCCTAATTGATAAAAGAATTCAGAAAAGTCAAAATACCTTCTTATGTCTCTTGTCTATTTATTGTACATTACATTGGAAAAAAAAGACTTCAAAGCAGTATAGTCATGCAAAAAACATTACATCTAAAAAAAATTTAAATATTATTGACGAATACATATATAATTTGAGTTTAATAAAATACAACTAAATGAATGTTCATTTAAAAAACACATTAAAATATACAAAAACGAAAATAGGGATAATTAATCTTGATATATAAATGTTCTGAATTTTTTTTATTTTTTTTATTACTACAAAAATTAAATCATCAAATTTCTAAATTAAATGAAATTTTTCGATAGATCTAAGCCCTTAATGAAAACAATATGAAATCCTATAAAAGAATGAAAAAAAAAAGCTTTCGAGATGTCTCAATACTATTTGATCTAAAATGAACGCTTGAACCTTGGAATTTTGGTAACTGCGTTTGTCCCGTTCCAGAATTGAAATGAACTGAATTAGACAAAATCAGACATATGTTCACAACTATTATCAATAGCATTTGCAAAACACGATCGAAACGAAGTATTAAAATATAAGATGAGAAATATATATAGCCATGACTCAAGATGTGCGAGATTCAGTCTTTTTGGTTCGGGTCTATACAAAATTACTTACAAAATTTTGCTTACATGATTTTCGAAAACTCATAAATTCTCATTGTTTATCTATTCAGTTAATGAATATCACATCATTTAATATTCTGTCATGAGTTTTGCTTTGATTAATATGTTATATAAGATAATGTACTATGACATAATGAAGCATCTCACTAGAACCGTCGATTCCAATCCCGATAAATTTTAAAAAATCTGATCAAAAATTTATCAATTTCTCCGCAGTCTGTAAACATTATAAAATGAAAGTGTACGGACAGTATACAAATATCTTAATGTCGCCTTCGTAAGATCTCGTTCATTTTGTGAAATAAAATTTTTTAAAATATCAGGACTCATTATACAATATCGAAAAAAAAATTAAGCTTAGCTAAGACATTATATTTAAACAATATTTTTTATTAGTAATGAAAGCAATGACAGTCATGTGGAATATCATAAATCACTTTTACATATTATTCTTCGTGGATGTGTTCTCTTTTCGTTTTTGGTGACTCCACGTGCATGAGCAACAGAAAGCAAGAGTGAATCATACTGTCTGCAGGTGGGTGCTTTTGTTTTCTATCTCTAGTAAATATATGAAGTATTATATTATTTTAAGGCATAAAAAGTATTGGTTGAAATATTATACATGAACAAAGTTTAGTTGTTGTTTATTTTGTTTTTCAAGAGAGTACAGTGAGTTCTGACGTTTGAAAAGAGTTTTTCTCTCGACAAAGGGAACGAGATTTTAACAAAATTAGCATCAAGATAGTTATGTATACTGCTAAGATACTTTCATTTTATAATGTTTTTAGAGTGTGGAAAAAATTAATGATTATTTGATCAGTTCATTTTGGACCTACACATCACTCGTCATACAAAACCTCAACTTTCTTTCTGGTATTATTTACAGAAGCAATTTCATTCATGTTTTGTATTTTGCTATTTCTTATCGATTGATACCTTTTATTTAAAAAAAAATAATTGTCTTTTTCAAATGGATAATTTTATGGGACATCTCTGAAAATTTTTTTTTCTAACTAGATGAACATGATTAAAGAGAGTTTCATACTTTCTATAGTCTCTTTACCAAATGACACAGGTTAGCAGCACGATCATAGTTACGTTGAGCTGCTAATTCATTATTTTCATCTTCTCTTTGTCGATCACCTATTTCTTCGAAGAGAAGAGCGAGATCAACGACTAATTTAATTAGAAGACGTGTATCATCAGCAAAGATACCATCAATTTTGACATATGATCTTGAAACTTGTTTCAAAGTAATTAATTCATTAGTTGGACAACGGATAAGAATTGAACGAATATAAGCATATGCACTGCTATGACGCACAATATTTTCAATATTAATGTTTGTTTGAATCACCAGAGACGCAACTCTTACTGAAGAATATATATTTAACCAATACCACAATTGTTCTTCTGTCGAGAAGAAAAGTACAGTTATATCTTCAGGAATCAAATATTTCATAAGAGCCGTTCTCAATGACGAGTTCTTCTCACCGAAATAGATCACTAGAAGACCACCATAATGTACTAGAAAAAAACAGAAAACAAAAAGTAGAATTACTTTTTCAAGTACTCGAAGTTTTCATAAGAATCATTCTATACTACTATAATTGCTCCCTTACTATTATCATGAATCAAGTGAGATTGTCCGTATTGATCGAACAATTGATCAATTGACTTATCATTATTATCGATAGTCACATCGTTTTTAGGCAATAATTTTAGTAGTGAAACACCTGTAGATAACTGAACAATCGGTAATGTATCTGCTAAAGATGTCATGTGAATTTTTGAGATTTGTTTCAATTGAAATAAAAATAAAACACTTAATCATAAAAAATAAAGTGAAACAAATCTAAAAATAAATACGTATATATTGTTGTAAAACTACAAAGAAAAAACACGAACAAGAGATAACAAATGAAATTTCGAAACAAATTAAAAGATGGTTTACCTTCTATAAACCATCTACATGCTGAAAATGATATTTTATATATGTAAAGATAAAAAAAACATTTTTTCCCAAAGAAAAAAAGAACGAAAGTATGAAACTGGGAAAATTCCCAGTCGGTTCAAAAACATTAAATCAAGATTATAATAAAACTGAAAATAATTTCTTTCTTACAATTAATCAAATTATGATAAGAATTAATTTATAATATCATTAATCTAATGAATCAGCTCACTGAATTGTTTAATACAAACATTATCTTTCCGATAAAGTCATCTATTTGTGATCTTCTAACATTGCATAAAAAATATGAAAGTTTTCTTACAATCATCAATACATATTCATCGACTCGCCTACCTTTCTCACTAAAACCGATATGAATAATTTGTAGACTATGACGCAGAATAAGACAAAATATATATTCCAAAAAAAAAAATCAACTATCTTGGAAAATTCCAAGCAAAAAAAAGAAAAGAACAGAAAAAAATTATGAATTTATTGGTCTTTTATCATAGAACTAGATTTTTATAAAATTCGTCTCAGATACTATTTCATTGATCACGAAGAATAAAAGATTTTACCTTTTCTTGTGAGTTCTTTTCACATATGGCCTGCTTGTTCTTCGATTGTGTGTCCTCTTTTTTTTTCTACTGCATGCACTAGTGACTTGGAAAAAAACAACCTTCGACAATTTTTCTTTTCATCCTGTGGCAGTAGTTAATGGAAGGTTAAAAAGCGTTAAATGGTAATTGATATACATATATCAGATAAGTACAGTACTTGTTATTATTTTGAAAACCAATTTTATTTCTTCATGTTCTTATTAGAAATGATTTTCTCTCCTCGAATCACTACTTGGATTCTTTTTGTTTTTTACAGTTTAAGATTGTAGAAAAAATTTGAAAATAAAGCTTGTTGTAGAATTTTGTAATCACATCGTATAAATTGTTTATTTATCCTTTTATTATTCTTTATTTAATTTCATTTGATCCTTTTTTCTTTTTTTTTTTGAATTAATATATGAATTGTTTCTAATAATTCTTTATAATTTTGAGCATATGTTCTACTATTATGTATTGTACGTTGCTGTAAAATTTTATTATCAGTTAAATAAATAGTTGTTTTAAAAATATTTACAAGATTAATTTATTGATCGACGATCAAAACTAACTCCAATTATAAGACATTCTTTGTCGATATGTTTGATCAACTGATACAGATTTTAATATTAATATTGTAATCGAGAAATAATAGAATCGAAAAAAATCAAATAGTTTTTTTTTAATGTTTTGTTTTTGTCATATGAATTATTTCTACTGGCTTTCTTCGACTTGTTATTAGTTGTCCATTACTAAAACTTTGAATTTATTGTGTAATGAACTCAATAATAGGACTTTATCTTTTTCAATCATATTAACAGATGCAACATTAGCTACTGTAACTTTAATACATTCTTTTAATCTTTACATTTCAGTATCGAGAATATTTTTCTTCATTAACTGATTTTGTTACGTTTATTAAATCATGTAATGCTAAAGCAATGATTTGTGTTTCATCATCATTATTACCTTGTGATGCTGCATCAAAATATAACAATTGCAGATAGTTGATACAAATAAAGAAAAAATAATAATCTTATTGTAAGATATTAGATTTCAATTGTTTTTTTTTAAATAAAATCCATTGAATAATTAATTGATGGGTCGTTGTTGAAGAAATATCGATCTATATCAAATGTGTGAGATAGGAATAAATAGCACACTAGCTGAGTAGAATATAAAAAAAGAAAAAGTTAAAAGGAACGAGTTATATGCACCCTGAACGTTTTTCGATGATTGTAGGATAACTTGCAGACAAAACGTGTTTTTCCCATTATAGCGTATTTTTCTGAAATTTTGCCTGCGATTTCAGAAATTTAGCCTATTATAATTTTAAGAATGCCATTACAAAAAGATGCCCGTAAAATTCTGCGTATATTAACTGAACTAGAATCTTCACTTTAGGAAAAATTTCGAACAAAAAAATCTAATTTTTGCGCATATCCTGAAAGATAAGAAAAATGAAAGAAAAGCTTAAGGTTGACTTCGACATATTTTTTCAATTCAAGTTTACTATATGATTCTTTGTTGTATATCAATCGATAGAGATTAAAATTAGATACAAAATTATATATATAAACATGAGAAAATATTATGACATATTATACTTGAGTACATAAATCCTAAAGAAATTTTTTTCACAGAAATGAAATAGTATTTATTTTTCAATCTTTCATGCTTTCGAAAGTAGGATTCTTCCTAAGAGAGAATCGGCGGCCTCCAAATCCGTGAACATGTAAAGAATCTTGGGAATACAGAATCTGCCGATTTCCCCTTGCAAAAGATCGAACACCTCATATGCATCACTCTGTTTAAAATTAATTTCCTGACGTTAGTAGTTGAGTAATTCTCTATAATGAATTGACTTATTTAAGTGGTTCTCATAATCAACCAGCCAGAAATAGCGGACTTGAAATTTTCAAGAGACTTCGTTAGAATTCAGATCGAAGTTTCTGCTGTTACCCTTTCGAAAGAGAGTAAACTATGATTTTTTATTTTATTCGAATATTAACGATAAAATCAACGTAGAAAACGTTGATTTCAACTGTCTGTCTTCATGCAAAAGAGTTACTTAGTATTTTGAGCATACCAACTTTGTTAAAGAAATGTGATGCCTTCGAACTCAATGGTTTCAACAACTTTAAGGATGTATTTTTTTTAGGGTTGTTTCTTTAAATTTATATATATATATCTTATCATCCAACGAAAAGAACTGCAATAAAGGAAGTTATCTGATGGAGGATGAGGACAAGCAGCTGATAGTAAATTCTACTTCTTCACAACTCTGACTCTATTTCAATTCAGTTAAGGTGTATTATATGTCAACAATAAATACATCTGATCAATCCAGAAACCATGAGTCTCAATAGTTTCGCCATGATTTAACTGAAACTACCCGTAATGAACTTGATAATGACTTACTCGATGTCGTCAAAGAGGAGATCAAACTGTTACTATGAAGCAAAGTTTAATAAAATAAAAATTAATAAAATGAATTTTAATGATATATAGGGTGTCCAGTAATTCACTAGAGTTGGAGAAAAAAATTTGAATATTTTCATGAATCTTCAACCAAATGAGCTGAATTTTGTTTGGAAGGTAGAGGACACGTAGCAGTTTTTATTCATAACAGAACAGGTCGTTTATGAGGATTAACTCAGCACACTTTTCTTTGCTATGTAAATAAGCTAGGCACAAACATTTGTTGTTCATAGTTATAATGCAATACTGTACGATAATCTTTTCTTTATTTATTAGGAAGCATAGTTGACATACAATGCGATATTATTAGTATGAAAGAAACNTATATATGATTCGAAAGACGAAAATAATTCTCCATCTTCTGGCAACAAAATTTTTTCCAGTAATAATCAATTTTTATTTGATTTTTAGCCGTTGGTTTTTTGTATGGATTATTCTGCTTAGGTTTTTACATAACTCACCATTTTTGTATATAACCATCAATATTTCTCTCATTTTTTGATATTGCTTGGTCACAATCTTCTAATCCAACTAAAAATCAAACAAATTTTGAAAGAAAAGATAAAATTATCAACAAGTTACGCTCGAATTGTTTTGCCAAAAGATGACATGCTGCCCGACCCGAGAATAATGAAGACATTTCATCATTTTCTGCAGCTCCAGCCATTGAAATCATTCGTGTATATATCTAAAATTATGGATAAGAAGATAATTCAAATCTTTTTTGGCAATCAATAGAAAAATCTAGTACCCGCACAGCATTAACATAGTCACCACGAAGAACAGCAGACAAAACATCTTCTTTCATATCCTGCATCGATCTATTCGTCATTTCGTTACCACTAGAAGCCATGAAAATCACGTCTTATCGAAGGACAACAATTATCTAAAGAAAAAAATAAATTTGTTAAAATATAAATATTAACTAAAATATAAGTAACCACTAGTGCTGAATAGTCCAAGGTCTATCACGATGAAATAATTTGAAGTACTAGCAAAAATAATTATCGGCAGAAAAAAATATAATGCAGGTATTGTTCAATAGTCTGTACTATAGTAGAAGAAATTACGTTTCTTGTCCGTGCTTGTTTACAGTCATAAACAGTGGAAAAGTGGTGCAAGTAAAATAATCTTGTTCATTCTTTCATTTTGTGACTAACAAAAAGGTTCAGCTGTCGTCTTTTGCTTCGCTTCTGAGAGGAAGGCTATCTAGAAAAAAATAATAGCTGTTTGTGATTGATTTACTATGATTATCCTTGTTATGTTTTGATAATTATCAGCAAATAGATAAACAGAAATAATGATGTCGCTCGTATACAGGTAGAGAAAGATCGATGTATATAGATGAAAAACAAATCTATCGGTCGGTTTTTATTCCCTTGTTCCTACTGATATTAATTTTATTGAAAAAGTTAAACAATTGTCTTTTTAACATAAAAATATTTAAGTTTGTTTTGAAGATCATTATAAATTTTTATCGTTTGAAAGAAATATGATTCCGTTCGTTGGCTGGTGCACGATGACTAAGCGTTCATTTCTAAAAGCTATAAGATTTAACATATCTGTGCACTAAGTAATACACAAATTTTCTGGAAAAGAAATTTAATTTAAACGAACCGCAATTTTAAGTTTGATGTCAAAAAAAGGTTCTTCTTCAGATCGACGACACCTTCATCATATTGGTTAAACCTACAACACACATCAAAGAGAGCGGAGGGAGTATCAAAGAGTGTGGGTGCCGCGGTGTCGTTGATCGCAAGAAGTACCCAAAAAAAAATATATATGTTGAGTGAATCTTTTTTTTTTTATTTATTAAAAACTTATCTTCAGGAAGATTCAGCCAATAGCAGTGCATGTCAAAGATAAATTAATAATGGCGTTCATAGTTTAACAATTTGTCTAGCCTTTTGTTTTGAGGCAACATCTCGTGGTGATATTTATTTAAAAACAAAAAAAGATAGTAATAAAAAACAATGTTTACATCTTAATTGTAGAAAACAAGCATAAGAATGGCTAACATGGTGTTTGTATCAAATTATTCTTTCTTTTTTGTACAAATCTGCCTTTTACTTCTATGTAAATGAACTTTCTTGTATAGAAAATTTCGACTTTCATCGCTACGAGTGATCTTCAATTTCAATGTTTGTCATGGATATTTAAAAAAAAGTAGATTTTGATGATTCGTGCATTAACAAGTGAATAGACATTTGATTTTGGAAAAACATAATAAAGAAGATGCATTTCTATTTTTCTTTTTTTTATTTCATTATTCACCATCTCTTTTAACAATATAGGAAGCCTAAGTCCTATTTTGGCGAAAAAACCAAGTTTTTCGATTCATTACGAACAAAAAAGTAGTTTGAGAGACACGATAGATTTAATCATTTTTAGTCTTTGTATTTTATTCGAACATTTTAAAATTGTTGTCAAAGGATAGCAGAGGATAAATTATAGTGTCTCTTAGGTCAAGCGCTAAAACTCAATTTTAATTATAAATATTTTATCTTAATTAATTTTGATAAAAATAAAGCTTATGAGAATAGAATCAATTATTAATGTATAATAATCGACAAAAATGCAAAGACTTCTTGAAAATCAAGATTTCTTTGAATACAAGATGGGGAAGAAAGAATATTCCTAGGAAATAACCATTGCATATAATAGTGTCATAACGAGCTTCGTTTCATAAAAATTTCAAATTAACAACATCTATATGCTTTTCAATCGCCACATCCAAAATTCCTCAGTACTCTTCTTAATTTGTGTTTTTGAGTTAAGAATTACTTATAATTTTAATGCTTAGATTTTGTGTATATTCAAAGTGTAGATTAGAAACAAATGCATGATACTACACCAATCCGTTGTACCAGACCACGGATCATGAATAAAAAACACCAAATAAAAAACTTCTTCATATTTTATATTTTATTTACAGAATATTGTTTAGATCTTTTGTTCTTTCAAAACATAAAAATAAGTCAACCTTAGTGAAGATGACATCATCTTTGGATGTAACACCAGAAAACTTTGTTCGTGCTGTTCATATGCTTTATCATGATCAAGATGCTACAAGAAAAAAATAGCTTCAGAATGGTTACTTAATGTTCAATCATCGGTAATTATGATTTAATTTATTTTCTTTTTTGTTTTGTTTATTTAAATAAGCTTTATGGGTGGTCACTTACCAATCAATTAATACGAATGAATGAAAATTCTGAAGTAACTTGTCTTTCAGCTCAAATTCTTCGACATAAAGTAATATTAAAATTCCTTTTTTTTTTTTTATAATAATTGAAAAAACAAATATTTCTAATTAGATTCAACATTAATTTTGATGAACTACCAGTAGAACATTGTAAAGTATGTTAAATATATTTTGTTTAAATATAATTTAAAATTAATAAATGAATATTCAAGGCTTTATGTGATTCTTTACTTGATCATTTATCTCGAATAGAACTCACTCGTAATACAACAGTGCGTGTTCAAGTAAGAAGATTTTAGTTAAAAAAGAAAACAAAAATCATTATTACATATATTGATTATTTTTTTTAGTTAGCTGTTGCAACGGCTGATTTAGCTCTTCAATATGTTGGTTGGGAAAAACCAGTTGAAGATGTTGTTGAAAAGTAAACGAACTTTTTTTTCTTTTTATTATTCTAATAATAAAATTCAATTGAACTTTATATTTAGATTAAAAACATCGAGTGAACATATGTTAACATTACTCGAATTTCTAACTGCACTACCTGAAGAAGTATTTTGGAAATTTTCTTTTTAATTACATTTTCTTTTTGAAATTTAGCTCAATACATCAACAATAAGAATCGGAGAAAATCGTCGTCAATATTGTCGAGAAAAATATTCGAATTGTGGAAAACAAATTCATGAAATATTAGTTCGTAAAAAGAAAATCTTCTTTTTTTTTTTTTCTATAATCTTAAATTTAATTTATTTAATAATTAAAGATATTTCTTCTACAAGTTAATCCTTCACATAATGAATTATTATTTATTGATATTCTTAAATGTTTTGCATCATGGATTACTATAACAAGGATTTGATGAAAATCTTATACTTACATCACCATTATTGAATAGTATTTTAGATATTCTTGTGAGTTTTCAGTTTTTTATTTTAAATTTTCATTTATTTTTATTTGTATAGAAATCAACAAATTGTTCAAATGAACTTCATAAGAGTCCATATGATTGTTTATGTGATATATTCGAATTATGTGAGGTATGAAAAAACAAAACAAAGAGAACAATTTTTCGAGTAAAAAATTTTTTATAGTTGAGACTTTACGAGAAACTTAACAAAATAAAACTTTGAAGATAGACTATTGACTAGAAATGAAGATATTTCGGGTACTTGCCAAATTAAACATACTAGTCAACTTGAGCAGAAAACTTCAAAAATCAGTGAAATTTAGGTACAGTATTCTGGATTGGAATGTTTACCGATTTTCTTACGATCAAATATTTCGTTTGCTAGGTTGGAAAAAGGATGAGAGAATTACCGGAAAATTTCGCGTGTTACCATCACTTAAGGTCAACGATCTGATTATTTAGACTTTCGATTATGAGCAAATTATTTATCTTTTTTTTTTGTTGTTGTTTATGATTATTATGTGTTTTGAAACTCGTATTTCAGACGCATATTGTATTATTCAATATATACCAAACTTTTTAATAATTTTTTGACATTTGTCTTATCGATGACAATATGAAATACTCTTTTACTCACAGTAAGAACAAGTTTGTTCAGTTAGCATTTAAATCATCATCTAAATTTAAAATGAATATATTTTTTTTTTTATTAAAGTTTTACTGATGAGTAAATTATTTCAAATATAAGTGTTCGTATATAGAAAAAGAATATTGAGTTAGTGAAAAGATTTTTAATAAAATGTTGACTTGCTATATTTTTTCTAATAAATTACTTGAGAAATTTTTATATCAATGAAATACATGATTGAATGCTTTAAATCTTTAATGATATTGTCTTATTAACTTGTCGAGTGTTGACTGATATCAACTTTTGGCTCTTAAATTTAATCCATATGTAAAAGTTGAAAAGTATTGAATCTAAATAAGATATATAATTGATTACTGAAAAGTAATTTGACTAAATGTTTGTTTATATTTTTTAATCTCTTAGGAGAGCTTGAAAAGTTTGGAGCGAGTGTTGAGTTGAAATCAAAGTTTTGTGTTCTTTTCGAGTATAAACTAAAAATTTTTTGTAGAATTTCTAGTTTAAAAATTATATATCAAGCTTTTAGAGGTCTATAAATAAACTTTGAATGAATTTCAGTGCATCAAAAATTGCCCAAAGTAAAATCGAGAATCATTTAAAGTAAAACGCATACAAAAGCAAACTTTTTCCTCCTTGAAATGGTGCATGACGGAATAAATGACTTGCTGCAAGTCATTTGTCAACAGTCAATATTTTTGAAAAAGGACATCATGTCGAGTAGACTTGCTAAACGAGCTTGGGCATTCTTTAATAACTGTTTTCAAACGTTTGTTTCTTAGGTCAGGTAGTAGAGGATGATTTTATCTTTAGTTCTATGCAAAAACAAACTCAAATATTCTTTATAAAAACTTAGTTTTCGTAACTCATAAATCTGAAATCTTTTACCCAAATATGGAAAGTATACAAAATTTTGTTTGTAACTCAATTCTTTTCAAACTAATGGCAAGTTCTTTAAAATGCTCAAAAAAGAATGTATGAATCTTTTATCAAATAACTGTTCGATGACTTATTGTGCAATTTAGTTTTTTTTTATTGGTTATATGTCAACAATAATAGTATGAAATAAAATTATTTCATTGTATATACTAAGATATTTAATAAAAAATGTGAAAGTCTAAAGGAAAATAAAATCTATTTGATAGAGTTATCAAAAACATTGGTCATTTGCAGTTTATTTAAAACAACAAATCACTCAATATTTATGTCAACCTTATTCTCAAGCTGTAATAGATGAAAATCTTGATAAGTAAGTTCAATAAATTCTATTGCTTGTATATATATATTTATTATATGATTAATTAAAGAGCACAAGATTATACAAGAATCTATACAAATTTAATTGAATCAATTCTTGAATGTCTTGTTGATGGACGTCAGTTGGATTTAAGTGATTTATCATGTCTTCATTTATTACTTTATCCATTAGAACATAGCGATTATGAAGTAAATCATATTTGAAAATTTTATTAATTTTTATTCTATAAATATATTTTCATTTAAACATAGGTTGTTCAATCAACATTGTATACATGGTATCATCTAGGAGAATTAATTCAAACAAATAATGAATTTATTATTGATAAAGTAAAATCTTATATGGATAAATTAGTTGATGTATTATGTACACAATGTAAACTTGATCCTGATCATGTAAGATATAAAAAAATAAAAATCTCTCTAAACTTTTTTAAAAATCTTCTTGTCTTATAGTTGGGTATTCCACCAGAAACAGATGAAAAAAGTTCAAAAAATAATGGAACATCAAATAGTGATTTAAGTGAATTTCGTTATCGTGTTCAATGTTTTATTGAAGATACAATTTATATAACAGGTTCTTTGAATTGTTTTCAATGTTTAAGTAGTTTTTCTTTTCTTTTATTTCAAAAGAATTTATTTTTTATTTATTTCAAAAAGATGTTTGATAAATTACAATCATCATCATCTTTATCATGGGAAGAGAAAATGAAGCGCCATTGTATATAATGAGTTGTGTTGCTTCATATTTACCATCTGATGAAGATAAAATAGTTCCTAATGTAATACAAGCTATTATATCAACACCAATACAAACTGGTATTGTTCATACAGCAATTAAATATACAGGTGTTAGACTTATTTCACAACTTGAAAATTGGATTGCAAAAAATGATCAACAAATTTTAAGTAAAATTTTATTCTAAAATATATTTTTTTTTTTGTATAAAATTTCTTTGTTTTATTGTAGAATCTATTATTCAATATCTTCTTTCATTACTTGTTGATAAAGAATTACGTCACATATCAGCCGATACAATATTAATTATTTCTCAGCAAGGTCGAAAACAACTACTTAATGATCTTGATCAAATAATACAAGCTACGCTGTGGTTAGATCTTATTGATAATGGAAGTGATGCAGCTCAATGTCTTCTTAAAGGTTATTATTTCATTTTTATATAATAGAATATATTCATTCAGAAATGACTTTAGCAAGAAGATTTGTCATCAAAAGAACACATTCTCTTTATTGATTAATCGATGAAAGAAAATATTCCTATTGTAACAAAATAACATAAAGAATGATAAAGCTTAAAAAAATTAATTCAAATCGAGACAAAAGTACATTAATTCTTTATGTCTCATCTTCAAAAATAATCAGATGTTCGGATAGTTTTTGAAAAGATATTTCTTCACTTTTGACTTGCTAGAAAAATATTTTAGACACGTCTGAAGTTATGAGTTAGTATGCGAATTGTATGTTCGTATTCAATATGATCTTAGAAATATTGTCTCTATTTTTATCAAAGATAAATGAGAAACTTTTTGACAGACTTGAAACATTATTTAAAAATGGTGAGTCAATAAAAGGTTTTTCTTTTGCTCTATAAGTTCTTTTATGAACATGCGAATACTTGTTGAAATCGAACATTTTGTAGAATAGAAGTTTTTCTATAAAATATGAGTTAAAGCTAAGCTTCAGCTTTTACTCAACTGAAGCTACAAGAACTTTTTTATTCAAGAGTTCCTTCTAATTTAAAGTAGTATTTGATGTTTCAGCAATGAATCTATACATTCTTAATGAAAGCTTCTTATGAGTAGAAACTTAAACGATGATAGAAACAATTTATATTAATTTTTTTTGTGTTTAGCTTTATCGAAAATAATTTCTCGTTTGACATCAATTGATGATATTCATCGGTATTTAAAATTACTTTTCGATCAACAAATTCAATCAATAACTCAGGTCTTTCATATTTTTATTTTATTCAATTAATTCTCATTATTTATATTCAATATTATTAGATTCTTTCTACTCAATCTGATACAAATTATAGTTCAATAACAAAACGACTTGATTGTTTGACAGCAATATTCAAGTGATATTTAATAAATGTTCTATAATGTTGTGTAATATAAATAGTTCTTTTGTTTTTTTAATTGTGCAGAAGTCTTGATTTCAAAACAACACATGAAGAAATACATCCATGCATAACTATTGTTCAACAGGTAAAAATGAATACATAACTAAAGATATGACATATTAAAATACAATATTATTTAAGTTCCTACCATTACTCAATTTAATCATTGTTCGATATCGTTCATTGGGAAAACTTAGTGAATGTTGGTCATGTACAATTCGTTTCATAATACGTTCAATGCGTTCTCATGCTAAAATATTTTTTCAACCAATTGTCGAACTTGTTCGTTTGAAAAATGTTTTTTTTTTCAAAAAATTATCTAATTGCAATTGTTTTGTTTTGTTTTTTTTCGTTTTAAAAATAGGTTATTTCAAGTTATGATGATGTTCCACATTCATGTTTTCTTTATTTAATATCAATTATTATTGATGAATATGGAAATGATCAAGATTTAAAATCATCGATTATTGTTATGAGTGAACATTTAACAACTAAAACTTTTTCAATTCTTAATAAACCAGATGGTTTTAAAGAAAATTCTGATCTTGTTGATTTTTATCGTTTATCATCGAGGTAAAACTTGATTTCAAACAATACATAGACGGATGTTGAAATCGTAAAAATTTCTCAATCTTGGATTATTTTCGTTCACATCATTTCATTTATCGAAACATCTTACGAGCAAATGTTTCTAACTTGAAAATCGTTTTTTATTTTGAATTCTGTGAATTAGATAAACTTCAATGTATTATTGAAAGTTTGAAATAGATATCGATCCGCTAAGAACATCCTCTTCAACGTTCTAACTGTTTTTTACTGAAATTTCAACTGATAGTACCGTATGTAGAAAAAAATTGAATAATGATATCGTAACCTAAAATATTGTTCATATATAGATCTACTTGTAACTAGAATGTTCTCTTCGTAAGATGTTGAATTTCGAAAAATTGCTCGTATTACATGAATGATTCTAGAATCTTATTCTTCTTGAATTTTCTACATACGGTATTGTAGACTAAATCTAAGGATCTATCTTATGCATAGTTCAAATTGAAGATTCCTTCCTTTGTAGAAATATATATCTATTCCTATGTCTACTTTTGATAATACTGAATTTTATTATAATATCTAATATCTTGATTGAAATTTACTTCATCATTAGATCATATTATGTTCATTAATTGACAAATGATCATATTTTCATTTTCTTTAGTACTTTTTATTCGAATAAAGCTTCCAGATATATTATTTAAAATATATTTTATAGTACAATATCATTGGTATATGCTACTGCAAAGATGGAAATATGCAGCACTGAGTTTTGCAGTGGACTTTCTGCTGTTAAGAAAATTGAACTTTTTCAAATTGCCGAAAATTCACTTTTTTTCTAATGTCGAAAATTCTCCTTATGACATAATCATGATCAACTGTTAAAAAGTCACTATATAAATTAATATGGTGAACTTGGTGTTATCCATTTCGTTAATATCAATAAAGTAAATATGTAACCAGTTAGAAAATAAACATGAATTAAAACTACTACCCATTTCAAAATAAAAGATGGGTGAATATTTTTTGAATAACTTTTGATAGAACCACTGTAGAGAACTGCGATTTTCAACGTTAAAAAGAGGAGATGGAGACGCATCGAACTGTATATTACAGGATAGTTTGATCTAGTTTTATCAAGGACATAAATCGACGTTTTTAAAAACCAACATACTCGGTGGGGTGACTCAAGCCAATTTTCAATAATCAGGTACGCATTCGAACCGCTAAATGAAGTTCCTTAAAACTACTTATAGGCATTTGATGTAAAACTCTTAGCCAATTTTTCTATCAATTTCCGTAAAAAAAAATCACTTTTTTTTGCTTTTTTTCTCATTTTTAGAGAAACCGATTTTCCGTCATTTTTTCAGAAAAACATCTTAGAGAAACCTGTAATATAACATTCGATGCCTCTTTTCAACGGTGAAAACTGCAGCTCTTCACAGCAGTTCTATCAAAAGTTATTCAAAAAGATATTCACCCGCCTTTTTTTCTTTAAATGAGCAATAGTAGCCCAATCAATATTCTTGTTCTACAGCAAGAGTACACATGGTAATCAAACAACTGATATTTGCCAAAGAACTACCAATTAATATGAGAATTTCAATCGAATGGAAACCTGTTTAATCAATATATTGAAAAAAATGGTAAAATTCAATTTATCAAATAATTTGACATAGCGAATAGACAATAATTGATTCAACGTGATGACACCCTTAAATTTCTATGCTATTTCTATGAGAGAGTAAGACTACATAAAATAGAGTTTTGCTAATGAAGTCTGAACAATCAAGCTGTACTTGACAAATTATTCATTCACAACTGACAATTAGGCTAAAATTTCAATTTAAAACAATTTATCAAAGCTAAAAAGTTTATCTTAAATTAATTATTTTTGTATGTATTTAATTGAAGTTAAGAATAAATCAAATTGATTATATTATTTCTATATATATATATATATATAGAAATTTTTTTCCATTTTCAATAAAAGATTACTTCAACGATGTCCACTTGAATATCGGAAATCCAGTGTAATTCAACCAATAATTGAACAAATAATTCCCAATTATCACTTAGAACATCGAGACGCAAGTTAAAGTATGATGGCATTTTTACAAACATTAGTTAAACTTACATAAAATAAAAATAAAGAAATCAAAGTAAATGTTTAATAAGAGAAAGAAAAAAGATATTTGGAATTGTTTGTTGATATTTTTTTAGAATAAATCTGAATTATCTGAAATTCGTTCATTGTCAATGTCATTGTGTGAAACATATATTTCTAATCTTTTAACAGCATTAATTCGTGCTATTGTTATTTCTCATGTTCCATCATCAATTCGTTCATCAATATCAGAATTTGTTTGTGAAATTAAAATTTATATGTCCGATAAATTTCCGCAATGGTTACAAAAATCATTAACAGAAATACCACGGACAAGTAAAAATGGTTTAGTAGAAATTGTTACTTCAAAACAACATGAACAGTTTTATAAAGCTCTATGCGAGTAAGTCTTTAAAAAAAAAAGTATTTAAATATATTTGTTGTTTTCTTTTTATTGTCTTAATTTTAGAAGCGATACTCAATCATCAACAATTGATTATGAACTTGAAACATTTGCAAAATTGTATCGATGACATCGAAATAGATTATTTTTCTTTGTTTTATAAAATGTGTTTGTATGTTTGCCTGTTCTTGTGTTGTCTTTAACATATGTTCACACCGACGACTTTTTCTCTTTTTTTCATTGTGCGTGATTACACACAATATATATTTGTCAATCTTTATTTTTTTTTCTCTGTTATAGAAAAAAAACTAAACAAACAAATAAACTTATATCAGAGATAAGGCTAAATAAAACAAATAGGAATGACTTTTCAAATTAGAATAAGTCTTCAGAGGAGAAAATTAGTTATGAAAGAATTATTAGAACTTTTGAAAATGATAAATTTATATAAGAAAAAAAAACAACGAATCGAAATAACCTATGAATATGTCTTACAACAGAAGTTCGTGTACTTGATGTTAAGATGAATGAATATATCTGAGTCAAGTCAATAATCTCAATGTTAAACTAGTTTAATTAGAATATGAGCTGATCATATCGTACACGGGTGGATATATTCGATTTCAATACGTTTACAGTATGTGTCATATAGTCACAATTTTAAATTGCTCTTTTATCATCATCGTTCAATAAAACTTAGCGGATCATATAAGAAAATTTTATGAAAAAGTTCAAAGCCATCTCTTTGTTAAATAAAAGAGACATAGACATAGACATAGAATTCTATTTGTTGAAAGAATTGTTTGTGAATATGTATAATACTATTTTTTCTTCATATGTGAATCGCCAAGATCTATTGAAGTATTTTAAAAAAAATCAAGATAGACTGTAAATACTTCGAAATCTTAATGATGCGTGTCCCATAAGTTCTAGACTTCAACAAAAATTCGTCTATATGCAGACAACCCATGATCATTAATTTAATGTATCTATATGAGTTTGGAATACTTATGGCAACGTTTCAAATGACATAATGTTGGCTAACATATTCTCTTTTAATAATAGTCATATAAATATGAGTATGCACTGTTTGATTTTTCAGAATTTTTAACTAAATAATAAATAGCATTTCACTAAAATTATAGTATACCAGGGATCCATATATATTATCTTGGCCGATTTTTACATTAATCAAACAAATTTTACATTGAATAGATGGTTTAAAATGAATAAAAAACATGAATAGATTTCGGAAAGATTACGAAAAATTACGTTGGGTATTAAACAAAGGATCTCTGTCCTGCAGAAATTATCATGCTTTTGTTTTTTTTTAAGTCACATAGTCAATGTAACTAGTAACAAAAAAACTGGCCAAGATAACATATATTGATCTCTAGCATACTATAATGTTATTTGTTATATAGTTAAAAATTCTGAAAAATCAAACAAGGCATACCCATATTTATATGACTATTATTAAAAGAGAATATGCTAATCAATATAATGTCATTTGAAACCTTGTCACAAGTACTACAAATTCATACAGATATGAATTTTTTTTGGAATAAAAAAGTTGATCTAAAAAGAAATACTTACAGATTTGGTGTATTTAAATCATACGCATGTTCAATACGGTGAGCAAGGCAAAATTTATTTGAACGATTTTATCAAACACAATCAACTACGTTGTCATAACATTGAGTATCATCATGCAATTTAAAGTGATATGGAACTATTTTAATTGTCGAAAGAAATCAAGGATAAAAATATTTCATTTATTTCATTTTATTATGTAATTGCTAGAAGGTGCCAGACGCTCGTTCCTGTCAAGAAAATTTTTCATTAAATTTCTATTAAATTATGCGAGCATCCTGACGTCCGACAAACAGTTGACAGAAACAATTCTTAAAATGTTTTTCTAAATATGAAAACATAATTAAATAAAAAATAATATTATTGTGAACAATAAATAAGAGAAAAAAAATTGATATAGATCGTATGATTATAATTAATAATATTGATTATTTGTATTTGTCAAATAATAAATTTTAATTAACAACAACATTAAAAAATACTCTTCGATATTTAAAAGTTTATGATAGGTAATTTCGTTATTTATTTCCGTAAAAATTTTTAAATATAATACATTCCACTGTGAAAGCTTCTTACCCTCTTTCTTTTGAACGTTTCTTTGTATATTCTACTTGCTTCTCATTGTGTAAAGAAAAAAAGCACTATACAAAATGTTTACAATCTAATAAAAGATACAATATTGCATAATTTTTGTAACAAATACAGCTGCTCAGCTTGGTCAATTATTATCACGAAGGAACTTTGGTAGAAAACTTCGAAATTTTGATACAATAAAATGACGTATTTTATGCAAGATTTACCTCATTATAAAATTATTTATTAGATTTTAGACCAAGGCGATGTACTATGTGGAAATTCTCTTAAAAAAATTGATGAAGAAGTTCATGAAAACAAATTTGATTTAATTTTGACAGCACAATTCCATAGTGATGATATATTAATATACGGGATAAAAGTTCTATGGCATTTTTCTATCGATATAAATAGAAAAACTGTCGTAGAACCTTTTTCCGTACCTTAGTACGTCAAGTTTTTATCTTATTTATTTGATACTAAATACAGTTGCTTTAATTGATCGATTCAACCCACAAAATACAATATTTTTCGACATTTTATGCTCTAATGTAGCTCTTAATCGCTAGTTGCTACAATATGTTTATAAAAAAAATCTGTTTTACTTTAGTTCAACTTAGGAATGGATTCTCTATTTTTAAGCAAAAAACATGAAAAAAATATTAATGTTGCGTAATTATATAAATTTTTCTTTTAGTTATTATATTTTGCATAGTTTGTTTGTTATTACATGATTCAAGACAATGATTTTTATTCTTGTACTTATTGCTTATGTCCTGATGAAAAATTTGTTACCGTTTCTGATGGCAATATTGTAGTATTTCCACCTTATGAAGATAAATCGTTTAGAAAAAGATCAGAATCAATCTATGGATGAACAGTTAATGAAATAATCAAAAGATGATGTTATATGGAAAATTTTTAAGACATCTTTTCTAGGAATAGATGCGTACTATGTTTTTTCATATTTACAGCGTCTCAACATGTCTAAGATCATTAAGATTTAATAGCTCGAAAACAGCTTCAATTTCATAGTTTTCTATCATCACTACTTCGATACTCTTTAATTGTAACTATACATTCAAAACATAAGTAAATACACATACGAAGGCCTACCAAGTTTATAATTTTGAACAGACATAATTTTAGATCTTTCGAAATTATAGTTTTTAAAACGACAGTTTAATTCAAAAAGAAATCTGAACATATAGATAGACAGAGTACTTGATACTCAATCTTGCTGAGTACTTTTATATTCTTTGTAGCGAAGATGTACACAGAACAGGACGCGAGATCTTTGTGTCTTAAAAACTCCAAAAAGTATCATGTTTTGCAGCAAAGATATCTTTTGTATTACTACAAATTTAACTCATATTCAGTTATCAAACGATATCTGGAGCAATCGTATTACCTATGAACATAGAAAATTCTATTAAAAATATAGAAACAGCATGAAAGAAAAATAAATGAATGCAATAGATGTTTATTTCCAAGTCTTGATCAATTTCTTGCTATTTCACTGCATTGAAAGAACACAATTCTGAATTCAAGAATTGCTGATAAAGTAACGTTACAGATTCATCTTTCTGAAGTATTTCCACTTTTGTAGCTACTCCATCAAATATACTTAGACTTGTAAGCCGAGTTTTTTTTTAGACGATAATGAATGCCTGTTTATTTCAATATCTGATTACTAATAATTTCAAAAAGCTAAATGAAATAATTGTGCATAGGCAACGATCATTTAGCAAGGAGTTTTTAATAAGCTCTTAAAATTGAATCAACTATTATCTAGCAAGATATTTTTGGTTAGTTTATCTCAATATTACTAAGTTATTGTGCCATTATGCCATTGTTTTTTTTCTCGTTTCACTGGCATTGTGAATGTTTGATAGATATACATTATACACTGTTCGACAGAGAAGTGGCGTGTATGTTTGTTCAAGTAAGTGATTGGCACCTTGCGTAGGAAAGGTACCAGTGATATCGATATTAATTCTTGAATGATTGGTGCTGGAGTGTCTGTTTTTTAAAGTCGATTTTGCACGCTTGTTCCCAAATTTTATCCCACTAAATCAATGAAAATAATGCGTTATATTGGTCAGTAAAAATGAGTGCGTAGTTATCCACTACAGTTTGTTCAGAACTTGGTCAAAATTGGATAAGATTTTTGATTCGATCAACTTAAGCATTTGCCATATAACTTTTGATGTAAATTTAAAATCAGACTAACGACAAACAAGTTAAATATCATTGGATTCAGCTTATAAGTAGCCTCCATAAATCGAGTGCTTCTTTGTCTGTTTCGTAGCTTCCAAATTGCGGACAAAGATCAAACCAATTAGCAGACCGACAGTGTGGGTGAGGGCGGAAGAGAAGTGCGATTTTTATCCGCCATTCGGAAGTAGCCGTATTTGGCAAGTAGTATTTGTTTTATCATGACTCGTAAAGCTTGACTAATTTATACCATTTGATAGAATGAGTACTTGAATACTCTTTGCTATGATTGATTTTTGAATCTCTTGATAAGTTGTCATCATCTATCATTTTGCATACGAGAAGATAAAATATTTTTTGATAGTATTACTGCCAAAATATAAAACACAATTTCGTTCACTTTTTTATGACTCATTATAAATGAAGGTTGCCATGTGTATTTATCAGTACAAAAATCTTGTACTTTAGCAATAATCTATATAACTTATTTAATTTAAAGCTAATTTAGTGAACAAAACATTTGAAGGTGGCTAACATCGAAGATTCTTCTTCTACTGAAGAATCATCTATATCTAATAAGAAGAAATTATTTTGGGTAACGCGCTATTCATTAGGAAAAACTTTATCAAAAGAATTATTAATTGAACATGAATTTGCTGATGATGAAACTCGACATCGTTTAATTGAGTTACACAAACCAATCGACAATGAGAAAAAATATCATTTCTTATTAGCAACAGTTGCTTTAGTTTTCAATCCATTGATTGGTGAGAGAATGTTTTCTCTTATTATTTGAATTCAAAAAAAATTTCTAAAGGATTGATTGCATTTATTTTGGTCTATATGGCTAAACGAAGATATGAATATATGTTAAAGAATTATGAAAATATCATCTATGAACGAACAACTGCTCGATACGCATTTATTTCTTACATTCTTAGTGAGTACATGCATTTTATTTTATCTTCATGAATAAATATTTGAATTGGTTTTCTTTTAGGTATAATCTCAATTGGTCTTACAGTTAGTATAATTACTGCTGTATTATTCTACTTTTTTGTTCGTGATCTTAAAACTATTAATCGAAATTCATTAAAGAATATTCGATATCAAGATGTACTATCATCAGATCATGTAAATACTGTTAACAATCAGCAACAAGAACAAGATATCAATGCTTATGAAGATGAAGAAATAAAATAGTGACAATTGCTACATTGTAAACTACGTAGGAATGGGATTCATTACAAAAATAAAACGTGATAAATATATAATGAATAAATGGAAAATCATTAATAACAATGATCAAACTCGTATTAAGTTTTATCTAGTACACTTATCATGAGTTTTTGAAGATATTTTTTGCAAACTCTGTGAGTTATTATTTAAAATTTACTATTAGAAAATTCCACTGTCAAAATAGAATGAATATTTGGTTTTATTAGTTCACATTTTTAGGATATTATAAAAGCCTCTGCTAGACTTTGTTCAGTAACTTGCGGTCGATAGCAAAAGTTGAATGCATATTTGAGATGTTACATAGATTTTTGATAATTATGTTGTACCTTTGATTGTACGGGAGTTGCGATTTATTTTCTTATCTATTATCTATGTCAAGCAAGAACCCATGTGAAAAAAAATCAGATTAAACTTGAATTAATTTTTTAATGACAATTAAAAAATTAATTAGATAAACCACATTTCTATTAAATTCAACGAAATAGTAGATTAAAATAGAATTTTTTCTAGGAAAATTATATTTGATTCAATAGTGATTTAATAGTTTTTAAACAGGAAAAATCAAAACAAGCATGGTAAATTAAAAGGGTTTGTGTTGTAGTCTAGAGAGAATATGATTAAAATAGACTGATACACATCCATGTAAAAAAAATGCGAACAATATTCAATCACAGTAGATGTATTGGTGGTTAAAGATCGATTATTGTTGCATTAGTATAATCTCAATTTTATTAGGTTCAGAATTTTAAAAAAAGAATCATTTTTAATCAACTTATTTTCATAATCAATTGTTTATAATTTAAAATCATGACAATTTTTACTTATAACGTTGACATCATAATCATTTGTAACTACGAAACAAAGTCTACTCCAATCAGATATTTTTCAACTAGTTCTACATAAGAAGAGCTCGATTAACAGCTAGCGATAGGCGACGAGTTTGATGTTCTTCACAAAATAAATTACCTGGCCAAAATCCACACTACAAGTAAATTAGAGTTGAATCAATGCAATGATTTCATCGATTTTTATTTTTACTTATCACTCTTATAATTGGTGTCTGTTCAAATTTGAAGAATTTATCTTTTAATTTATTACGACCGTTCTATACCCATAATATTTATCGAAACTATTTTATATTCATATAAATGTTAAAATATTTTCTGTAAACTAAAGAGCTGAGATTTAATTTTTTCTATGAAACAAAATCCATACAATTCCTACAGAAATAACTCTCAATGATGATAATGTGAATTTATAATTTTTGCAAAGGAACTTTTTTTAGCACTAATAACTCAAAAAATATTTAATAATTGGATGAAAGTCATAAATAAAAAAGAACAATAGTCATTATTATAAGAAATACCATACTGTTTTAAAAGGGGTGGGTGTGGGTGTGGGTGTGGGTGGGTGTGGGTGTGGGTGTGGGTGTGGGGGTGGGTGTGGGGGGTCGGGTGGGCGTCGGGTAGGGGAGGGGAGTCGGNAAGGAAATGCTGGTACTTTTCAATTTGCTGAAGTAAAGGTAATATTTTTAGTGAAAATTGGTAGTTCTGAGAGTGGCCTACCTATGCTAGAAAGGTCACTTCGATTTGCCGTATCCTGATGATTTCTCAGAGCTGTCGGTCTAGAAGTATAGAATGATATGAATCTCCACTTCTGTACAGGCTATAATTCTGAACATTTTAGCATAGATTTTCCCATACTTAGGCAGTCTACAATAACATTTTCAGGGCGAATGGTTGAGCCTAGTTTGAGATTTGAATCGAATACTGGTAGGGTTGCAATATGTCAGTTACGTGGGCAAACAGTATATAGGCCATAACTTAACGAAGGCACCTCCGTTTGTAATGAAAATTTTACTGAAAAGAGATTAAGCGCTGGGCTTTTCGATGATAGGTTAAGCAAGATTCTATCTCTTTCTTAACCTGAGATAACACAATAAGAAAAAATCATTGATGTTGACCTGATATCTCAGCCTCAGTAAGGGAGCAGGACTCGAATTTTCGCCTGAGATCAGGACTCACCAAGATCTTGCTTTGGTACAAGTTTCAAAGCAAGCAACCCTTATTTAGATAGTTTTCACTTGGGGGAGAGACTTTTGTCGTCTACTGTAGTTATAAACAAATATAATTATATGCATGAAAATCTAAACCTAAATTGATTTAAATATGAGAATATGATAATGGAAAAAGAATTTAAATTAAATCTTACCAATCATATACTTTTTATGAATAAATATTGGATGAATTGAAAATCAATAAGAGATAAAGTTTCTTCGCATCTATATTTAGATAATAATTATGCTTATATTAACCTGAATATTTCATTTATCAGTGTATATTCTTGAACGAATATTTATTTTTAACATATACAACGATTATTCATCATATCAAAATTCTCTCGTTTGTTTTTCTATGATTTATTACGATTAAAAATAATAATCTAAGAAAAAATACTTCCATTAAATGATGTCACTTCTAATCTTTGTTTATTGCTAATTAAACTTGGTTGAAATATACATTTAAGAAAAGTTGCATTAGTTAATATGGCATCATTAAAATCAACATTAATAAATGTACATTGATCGAATATTGTGCTACTTAGATTAGTATAATGCATTGAAATATTCATAAAATAAACATTTCTTATTATAGATTTACTTAAGTTTACACTATTAAAATATATATTGGAAAAGTTTGATTGAACAATCAATGATTTATCCAGTGTACAATTAATAAATTTAATTGATGTAAAGGAACATCGTTCGAATTGAACTTCTGTTGTTTGAATACGAGTAAATATTGTATCAATGAATGTTGCTTGAATAAACAAAGTGGATAGAAGTAGAACTTTTGTCAGATTGGTCAATTGAAAATTACAATCCATTAGTATTTGAGAGAAGCTCAAATCTGCACGAAACATATTTGTATCAAGAAATAAACATTCAAGACAAACGAAATAACGCATATTAGCATAAACAAGAATTGATTTTGTAAAGTCAGTAGCAATAAATTCACTCCGAAAAAGATTAACTTTATTCATTATGGCTTCAACAAAAATTGTGCGATTATATTGTTTAGATTTGGGAAAACAATGATTTTTCATTTTTAAAATAGACGCATGAGTAAAATCACATTCTATAATAATAGTCGAGTAGAAATTAACACATGAGAGAATAGTATAAGTAAATAATGATTGTGTAAGATTTACTTTAGGTAATGATAAATATTGGAGTACACGATGTGACAATGAAATTTTACTGAGATCAGCCTCTTCCAATGAAATTATACCAGAACTTATAGGATCACTTGAATTATAGTCGTTGACAATCAATTTAGCTTCAAAGAGTAATCGAATAAGAAATGTTTTACGATTTTGATCTAGTTGATTAATGGCTGTTAACGTCTTGAATCGAGCTACGAATCTAGCTGATATACTTTCATTGAGTGTCATACCATAACGATTTAAATGATCAACAAGAAAACTTTCATAAGCGGCAAGAATATTCGCCTTTTGTTGATCTTCAGCTATCTGCAAATCTTGTGTCCGCTGGTTTTGAGCGATTTCCAAACCTTTTTGTCTATTGGCTAATGCAATGGCTTGATCGTTATCATTTTGCACAAATGTATAAACAGCAATAGCAATAGGTACTCAAAATGCGACGAGTAGTTGAACCCATTCGAAAAACTTTCGCCTAGGATGTTTATTCTCTTTCTGATACTTGCAAATTGAATTAACATTTTCCTTACCCATAGTTACATTGTTATTGTGACATATAAGATATGCGCATATATATATATATAGAGAGAGAGAGAGAGTAATTGATATTCGATAGAAAAAATAACGTCACTCGTATGACTCTCATATATATTGTCAAGCGAATTTATCGAAGAATAAGGCGAGTATAACGAGTATGGTCCGTATTTCGTGCAGCATTGTCATACAGCACGTTGATTTTGCAAAATGTTTAGATTAACTCTTTATCTTTTTGGACTCATGCAATAGAGTTGATGTTGAGTCAATCATGAGAAAAACTTTAACAGTTACTAATTATGACATTGATAAAGTTAAATTAGGGCAAAGTTATTTCATTGGACAGATGCAGAATGGGTCAAAAATGATTCATTCGATTGGGTTGACATAAAAATTGAATTTATTGTTATTTTTATTTTTTATGGCTTTTCGTGGTTATATGGTTATTTTATCTGTAGAAGCTTGAAACCTACTTATCTTAGATTATTTTTTGAAAAATGACTCATTTCAGAGAATAGTGTATGATTAAACATCTCCAAACGCCTCTATTATCGCGTTTAAATCAGATCTCTCATTTTCAAGATCGTGTTAAAATTGTTAATCTCCATTTCCGTTTTTATTATACAAAATTGTTGATTTTGATTCCGATTCGAAATCACCTGTTCCTATTGTTGAGATTTTATCCGGAAGAACGGTCATAATAGAAGCTGCCTGTTTCTATTTTTTTAACGATAAAAAGTTGTTTACATACGGCTGTGAAATGCTTTCTGACTGTCTATTAGTTCTAATAAAGTTTTTAGAATGAAGATTGTGTTATTTTATATGTTTATATTGAAAATAAACTAACTCGAGAAAAATCATTTTTCATGTTACTCACTGCGAATGGGTCAAAATTGATCCAAGTTATCATAAATATGTTGCTTCTATATCTGTAATCAAGAATGTTTTAAAGCTATGCTGCAGATAAATTATGTTCATAGTAAAGATATATCAACCGCACTAACATCAAAATAATCAACTTATAAAAGTAAATAAAAGAAAAAAAACAATTTTTTTTCTCCTTCTCTTTTGGAAAATACTGTTTTTCAACATATAAATCTTAGCCAAAAAGTAATGAAAAGGAATTTAATATTTTTTCGAACTTCTAGCTTATTGAAGGTTGTACACAATATACGGAAATCGAACATTTGTTTTTATATTCTCCAGTCAATATTTAATCTACTTTGAAATGTGTCAAGGAGTTTTTTTTTCCAGTTACAATAAAAATCTCAATAACATCAAAAAATAAGACATCAGTAATATTTTTTAACGCAACATTGGTTTCAACATACATTAATGTCGAAATGATTTCTAAGCAAAATTGTAAACAATATTAAATAATTCTTTTTTTCATTCCGTTAGATTTTTTTGGTTTGCAACTTTAGAGCAAAAAAACTTAGATGTGACTTAAAAGATACGAATTAGAAATGAATTCTACAATCATGAAGATACTTGATCAGAGTTCTTGATTAGGAGGAAGGACTTTATTCCTCCCTCAAATATCGAAGTTTCTGCCAATTTTTTTATAGCTTCCTGATAACTTTGAACAGAGGCAGATTTTGAAACGTGATTTACTTGTCTTTGGTAGAAAATGAGATAAAAATAAGTAGACAATGTCGTGTCGAGGTGAATGAGATAAAGACAGGGTCCTCGGATAGGAATATTTTGGTGACACGTTGTCTGTTATAGAAGATATCGGGTCAGATAGGCTTTCGTTTTTTCCTTTTTCCCTCCTTTCTCTCTTCTGGTAAAAAAAAATGAACAACTACGTATTTGATTATAAACATGTTATTTTATTCTCTTCGAGTCAATAGAAACATATCGTAGAAATCTTCAATGCATAAAAAAAAAACTTTGGGAATTTTTTTTTTTTTGATTAAATAAGGTGTCATGTTGTGTTTAGTATTTCTTTTAAATCTCTTGTCAAATAGAATTTCTTAGACGAGATTATCTTCATAGTCTATCATGCAAACAAACAAACTAGAAGAAGAGAACAATTAAGATCTGAATAGTAAATCGAATGTATGTTTTGAAATAATAATAACTTTGCTAATTATATTAAGAGATTTTTTTCTGTAAATCATTCGAAAACTAATCATATGAATTAATACTCAAATGATAGAATAAAACTAAAAAACAACAAGAAGAAAGATAATTGTTATATAAATTTAAATTGATTGAATACTATATTTTTCAAAATTGATGTTTTGTCACAAAAAAAAAAAAAAACTTATTCTTCTTTTTTCTGATTATAAATTATTCACAAAAGAAAAAGAAAACAAAGATATAAAGCACACAAAGAAACGAGGCGAGATTACTACTTAAGAAGCACATTCTGTTGTTGAACTTGGTAATGATAAGGTTGTTGTGAAGGTAGATGTGAAGATGAAGTAATCTTCCTTTTTTCTGTTGCGTATCGTTCATCAACATATAAAAGTTCAGCTGAATCATCACTCCAACCATCATCACTATCATAATTTGATGTTATTTCATTTTGTTCTGTTGATTGAATTATTTTTTCTTGTGGTGAATAGATTTTTTTATTTGAAGAAATATTTTCCAAAGGAGATGAAGAACTTTGTCGATCAATTGTATTTTGTGTACTTTCACGATCAGATAAAACATAAACATCAGGTACATGACTATGATTTTTTTTATTTTTTATTAATTGTGAATTATGATCAATAATAATATCATTATTATTTTCAAAATCATTTGTTAATGTAAATGGATATGTATGACAAGATGATGGATGAGAAGAAGAACCAACAACTGAAGAAGTTTGTAAACTAATAAAAACAAAACAAAACAAAAGATGAAATTATTATTTTGATTTTAAATTAAAGATTGATTAACATACTTATTAGATGGAATAAAATATCTTCGATCAAGAAGTTTTTGTTGTTTATCATTCATTAAACGATAAGTACGAGGAGGTGGTGTATTAGAATTATTTTCAACTAATTCATCATGAGATAATGGTGATGTTGATAATTGAGATTGATAAGTTGTTATTTTTTCATAAATATCAAATTGTTGTTGATTATTATCATGTTCGGATATAATTGGCCATGATGTTGATGATTTTGATTGAAGATTATTAGTGGAATTTTTTTCAATAATTTTAGGATTAAATTTTTTTTCATCAGATTGTATTGATTCTCCTTTTGATATATTACTTAATTGACTTATTTCTCTTTCTCGTTTTGAATCATAAATATTTGTATGTTTTGGATGTATTGGTTGAATTCGAATAGTTTTTAATATTGATTCATTTTGAGATTTTTCCCATGGATGATGATCATTTTCATATTTGGAATTTCGCCATTGATTTGATTGTAGATTTTGATCAATTTGAGTTTCATTTGGAGAATTATGATTTATTGGATTTTCAAATGTTTGAAAATGAACTTTTGATGGACGAGATTGTAATGTAGAAATAGGTTTTTTTTGTGCACCATGTAAATGATCAGGTCCATATTGACTATTTGCTTCTGTTGTTCGACTAAATAGAACGAAGAGATAATTACTAAGAAAAAAAAAATTCTTTTTGAAAAATATTTCTCAATACTTGAATTTTTTCTCATTATTATTATTTTTATTTCGAATAGCAATTCCTGTTGTTTTCAATCCATGAGTTTGTTGTTTTCCATCTATTTCTCGATCGACTTCATTTGATTGATTTATATGGATAGGATCATCAGCATAACCAACATTTCGGTGCTGTCGTCGATAAATGATATTAGCATCTTGTAATTTAGGTGTTGTATTAGTTGATTGAACAGATTCATATTTATCAGCAACACTATTTCTATTTGAATCATTAAAATTTGATTGACGTTGTCGCGTATCAACATGATGTTCATATTGACGACGAGGTGTACTTGTAAGAATGTTTTCTGTATATTGTTTTTCATCAATATTTTCATTTTCGTCGGGTAATCTATTCTTAAGAAATTTGTTTCGTTGATGAGTTTTTTCAAATGATAATTCTTTATCTTGTTGTCTTTGAATTGAACCAATAAAATGTCGTTGATTATGAATTTGTTCAATTTGATCTTGTGAATTTTCACGTTTATGGGCATATTTAAATGGAGTTGATCCTTGAATATCTTTGACTTAAAATGAAAAAAGAAAAAAAGAAAATTAATTTTAAATTAATTTCAAAGATATTTGTTTATTTATAATAAGATAAAATTATATTTAAAAAAGTGAAATATTTAAATTTAAAAACATTTACTTTTGATTCTTCCGTGTTCTTTTTGATGGATTTCATTTGATTTAGTACTTTCAAATTCTTCTTTTTGTTTTAAATGTTTTTTTTCTTCGTTTTCTTTAAGTTTTTTCATTATTATTTGTTCTTTTTGTTTTTTTTTTTCGTCATGAATAACATTACCAATGGTTTCTTCATTATATAAAGTTGGTAAAGTTTGTTTTATTAGTCGAGTTGGTGACGTTTGCGCATTTGAATCTTTAAAAAATAAGAACATACTTAAGAACCAACTGACAAATGTCAATTAATAAAGACAAATAAAAATATATTGTTTGTACTTCTCTTATGGATTCTTAATATATACTCATATACATTTTTTTGATTTTAGTCAGTTAATATTTATAGAAACATGGTGACGTAAATTAAAAATTCTATAGCATGAAGACCTTGAAGAAAAGAATCGACTCGCTTCTTTTATGAGTATTCGTTATTTATTGAAATGCATATGATGCATGCAACACTTCAAGCAGAAAGTAAATGAGCACCTATTCATATTTCTTTTGATGATTGTTATTCTTTTAATATTCTTTGGTTTTATTTATTTATGCTATTTAAAAATTTAGATTTCTTTTTTTCTTAACTTAAATAGATAGATCTATGTCTATTAAAACATGAATCAGAATAAAAAAGTTTTTAATTATTTTCAAGAAAAAAATTTTAGTAAAAAAAAATTTATTTATATTTGAAATTAATTAATAATATCTTACTTGAATGGTAAGTTGTGGATGGTTGAGGTTGTTGACCATGATATCTTAATAGAAGATTATTAACTTTTGATGGTGAAGCATCAAATGGGATTCTTTGTTGTATAACACCTGGACGTACAGGTTTTACTAAATTTACTGGATGTTGTCTTTCAATGACAGATCGATTAACATGTGCTCTCATTTGTTCTTGATTTGAATAATGAGCTAGTTGTGTAATTGCTTTTGACTTATGCTGCTGCTGCTGCTGTTGTTGTTGTTGTTGTTGTAGACCTAATGGACGTATTGAGCGAGGTGTTGTTTGATTACTTGAGCTACTTGTTGTTCCTGTCATTGCATTAATTTGTTCGTCATAACCAGTAAGACGTGATGATGTCAATGGTATTGATGGTTCAATAAGAATATTTAATTTTGTTTTTTTTCTTAATGGTTTTAATGTTGATGTATTTGGTTTTCGAATAATTGTATGTGTTGTTGATAAGTTATTAATAATTGTTGGTATATTGGACTCATGGCGGATAACTAAAAGTAAAACAAATATCAGGCCACAACAAAAAAAAAAAAAAGAATATATTTTGTTATCTTGACTTTTTTTTTTGTTTCTAAGTTATATAGGACTCAATGGTATAAACATCTTTTTTACTTTTACTGATAAGACTGATATGTCATATGACAAAAATGACTCAATGTTTTTTTTCCAAGATAATCTAGTCAAATTTTTTAATAATCATACAAGATAAAATAAATTCATTGAAATTATTAAAATGGGACTTTTTGAATGATATATCATATTTGCATTTAGATAAAGTGAACATATTAAAATGATTAATTAATCAATTTTACCTTTTGATGAAGTTTTATTATTTAAATCATTTAATGATCGATGTTGTTGAATATTAGGAGTATAAAGAAGTTCATTTTTAGTTGTGTTTGTTCGTCTATATGATTCTGTTGATTCTGGTGATGTATCAAGTATATCTAAAAGAGCACCATCACTTGATCGTTTCATTTTTTTATCTTTTTGTAAAAATAATTTTTGTTGTCGTTCATCAGAAAATGAACTTGAACGATGTTGTTGTTCTTCACGTGTATTATTACTAATCATATCTTCCATTGAACGATTTCGTCCAAAATTAATAGGTGGACATCGAAGACGAATAATATCAATTGATTCTTGTTGATGTTCATCATGATATCCATCGTCAGGACTTGAATCTTCATTAAGCGCACTTAATGGACGATGAATTGGAATATGTTGTTGTGAATATTGTTGAAATTGAACGGATGAATTTGTTGATAAAGATAAATCAAGACCTGAATCAGATGATTCATGATGACTATTTAAATTAGTTTTCTTTTGATATTGTGATGTGTCAATCTAAAGAAAGATGAACTCTTTCTTTCTTTCTTTCTTTTTTTTTTTTTTCTTTTTTTTTAAAATTTGAACTTTACTCGATTAATAGGTAAAATTAATGGTGGGGAATCGTTATATGAACTTCGACGACTACTTGTCATTGAATCAAGTTTTTCTTTAGTTGATGTTGATGTTTCAACAATAATATTTGTTGTTTTTTTTCTTGATCTTGATCGAGCACCTAATACAGGCTGTGTAATCAATGCTAAATGACGACTAGGAACAAAATTATCAGCACCATTTGTTCGTGGTGATCTTAGCATGGATTCGTTTTTCTCTTCGTTGTTGAATCTTTAACCAAGAAAAAAATAGATCCAGTAAAATTATTCAAAGGTACGTTGGTTATTCTGATCTAAATGGCATTGATAAAAAAAAAAACAGATGCATGTATGAAGAAGGAAATTGAAAAAGGGAAAACGAGAGAGAAAGAGAGAGAAAGAGACAGGAAAAGCAAAAAAAAGACATTGAGGAAAAAGTAGATACTACCGTCATAGAAAGAATGAAGAAGAAAAAAGAACTGAAGAAATAGTGTTTTTCTCGCGTGGTACTATTGGATATATAAAAAAACATAGTTGAAAAGTGTTTTATTGTCAAGTAAATTTTTTTATATATCTGCATTTGTAAGAACTCGTTCTCTCCTTTTTTCTCTTTCGTTTTTCGTTACTAGAGTTGTTAAAGTGTATGTTTGCAATAGAGCACATTTGTTGTCGTCGTCAAATCCACCTCTCATTTCTCTATCCATCTATACGTACATATAAAGACTCACATCAAGTGCAATAAGTTGTACCACTTGCTGTTTTTAATAAACAAAGTCTTTTTTAATTTTTTCAAACGATTCGAAATCGTTTAGGTTAATCATAATTTTGAAAAAAAAATGAAAAGAAAAGAAAAAAGAAATTGCACACAGCATGAAACTAATGAATGAAATGACAAATAAAATAATCTAGAATACGAAATATTTTATAAGAAAAGGTATCTCATTTCCTGTCGTTTTCGTTCGTGTAATTTTTTTTATAAGTGGTTTCATATGAAAGAATAATTCAAGTGATATGTAGTAAAATTTTTAAGTTTTAAACAGCTCTTATCTTAATTTGTATATTGACTAAACGTGAACATTTTCGATTTTATAGATGAATGAACATAAAAAAAAAATTTACTCTTAAAGAAATTTTCTGCTCTAATTCTTTCTTTATCATTAGATTTATTTTTATAGTTGGCTTGACTTACAATAAATTCGGTTCGTTTCCTTTAATATTAGTTGTCTTTCTTTTCTTATCATCTTTCTATGACTAAAATCGACAATGGATAAGATATTTAATTCTATAGATATATGTCAGTATGCTCGTAGCAACAACATCTCTTACAGCTTAGTAACTGGTAGTATTCATTTGTATGATAATATTTGACCGTTGACAAAAAGAGAAGAGAACGCTATAGCTGCTGTTAACACATTACCATAACATACCTTGATGTTGTTGGATAGGTTTCATCAGCCACAACTGTGGCGTTAATGTTATGCTATGCTCTCATTTGAGACCTCAAAAGTGGATGCTGTTGTTTTTGTTACTTCTCTTCTTCTATGTTTTTACTATTTCCTGCCTTGAATGTTCAACAGAACAGCATTAAAGAAGAAAAAAAAAAGAGAAAAAGTGAAATGGCAATATGTCATGTAGATAGAAATAAGAGAACAAACAAGAAAAAAAGATTGAAATCGGATAGGTAAGTAATAATGATGACGCCAGTAATTGTTCAAAATGAGGTTTTTTTCCTCTTTTTTGAATTCTTCGCTTATTCTTTTCTCTTTCTCAATTAGCACCCCTGGTGATAGTGCAAGTACACTGTTCAATTGCTTCATACTCGTTTTGTTTTCTTTACTCTCTGATTCTTCTTTTTTTTTTATTATTCGGAAGCAGATTTTTTTTTTTTATTTTTTCTTTCTTTGTATATGATGTGACTATTGATAAACGATATTTCATTGTTCTCTCTCTTCTCTTTTTATCGATAAGAGAGTAGAAAAAAATGAATAAGAACACGACAAGACGTGCATACGTAGTAGGATTTTATGAAGTAGATGATAAGAGGATTGTGACATACATCGAACGACGACAACGACGCTTGTTGGTTAGAGGTGTTGGTAGCAACCGAGAGCTCATATTTCACTTCTCTACTTGATGAACAACATACATTATAGTATTTAATGTAGATGATTACACGCACAAATTGAACAAATGTTGTAACTGATAAAGAATAAAAAGTATTAACAATCTACTAAAAAGTTTAAGATTTATTTTGATGTCATAAGAGGCTTCAAAATGAAAACAATAAAACTTTAAAAAAAAAATGGATACATCAAATATCCATAAATATCTTTATTATAAATTATACTCAATGACTTATATAATAAATTTAACTTCAAACAATCACTTAGATGAAGATCTCAATTAGTAGAAAAACTATTTATATCATTTGACTAGTGATGATAAACATAACTTATTCATATTTTATTTTATTATTTTTAATTTATATCAGTAGTTGATAAATTTATCTAAGATTAGATTTAAATTAACAAAAAAACCCAAAACTACTTAATGGAATATTTTATTAATTAAAACATAATCAATGTTTTTTCTTGTGATAATTAATTAGTCTAGAAATTATAAAGATTTTTGTTAGCATTTTACTTTTTGCTGAAAACTAACAACTTAGAAAAGATTTTCTTGATTGATTAAATAATAAGTTTGACTATAAATTTTTTGTTTTGTTTTAAATGAACATATGTCCAATGATGATTTTTTTTTGCCAGTAAAATTTATGAATGTTTTCTTTTGATTTATTCCATAGAAAACTTATCTGAACACTAAAAAAAAATTTATTTTAATTCAATAATAACAAATAAATGATCCAATGACTGATTTGATTCGTTTATATTCGATACCAATTATAAAAATGAGCAACTTCTTTTTTATGAATGAAAATAAAAAAAAAAAAAATTCGAACCATAGTGACAGACAAAAGTTTAGAGCAGTTGTATTTTTGAGTTTCTTCTCGAGAGTACTAACTAGATTCAATTTGAAAAAATATTTAGATAACTAAAAGAATTCTCTATTAGGATTGATGAATCTGAAAATTTTAATAAAATTACTTGGATGAAGATATCTACACAAAGTAAGAGTTCGAAAACTAGTTTTTTAGCAGCTATTTGAAGCTTTTTTGAAATAGTTTTATTTGATAATGTAAATAATTCTGAGCAAAATGAATTGTCTCTCATCTCTCCATGACGTCTCTTAATCGAACTGAATTTAATTTACCGGAGACCCATGAAGAATTTTTGTTTTGTTTCTTTGAAAAATTCAATGACTTCGTTGTGTTTTACGTTTTGGGGCCTACTATATATTGAATGCAGTTTGATGAAGAAACGTCATGAAGAGAGGCGAAACATTTTATTTTTCTCAGAGTTATTTGCTTTATCAAATAAAACTATGTCGAAAAATCTTTAAATGGATAATCAGAAAAATATTTTTCGAGGTCTTACTTTTTCAGATATTCTCATTCAAGTAGTTTTATTGAAATTTCTAGATTCATCATTCTTGATAGAAAATCTTTTTAGCTAATCAAATATTTTTTCAAATTCTTTCTAGCTATTACTATCGAGAAGAAACTTAAAAAATACATCTTTTCTAAACTTATATCCACTACTTTATATTGGATTTCTGAAATATAATGAAGTTATTTAAAAAAAAACAATAAAGTATGCATTATTATTTAGTTTTAAGCACCAAATATACGTATTGTCTTTCCCAGTGCATAGCCGCAAGTGGCACACGTCATCCATTTAGGAAAACATTGTTTAAAACAAATTCCAAGATGATGACATCTCATAGAAATAATGTGAGGAGATGCCTGATAAGTTAAACAAATTTTGCATTGAAATACAGGATCAACAGAAGTATTTTTATTTAATGATGAAGATTCATCTGTTGAATATCTTAATGAAGAAAATAATATAAATTAAATATAAAATAAACATTCATTTGACATACATTGAATCATCTGATATAGAATTTAAATCAATAGGATGATTAGCAAGTTCTTTACAAATATGAACTAATGGTCCATCAGAACTGGTCACCCAATTAACCTCTAGAAAATGAGAACGTTTTCAAAAATAGAAATGATATTTATTTTTAAACAAAGACTAACTTTTTTGAAGTTGATTTTTAGCACGTAATCGTTTAATATTCATATCTGTAGTTTCGAATTCTAATCCATTTGGAAGAAACATAAGAACGGATAAAAGTATTAGAGGTACTGAAGTAGAGGTACATTGTAAAAAATAAAAAGTTGTATTATTCACTCTTTTTTCAATTAATTCATAAATTTTATGTGATGCTTGTATCTGAAGAGGAACTGGTTGGGATTGATCTTAAAAGAAAAAAAATAATTTGAACGAGTTCAATAATAAATGAAACAAATTACCTCTTAAATGTTTAGCATATTTACATCGATGAATATGTGCTGTCATCGGATTATCATTTATTCCGACGACAGATAATTGACCTTGGCATGAAAAACATTCAACTATGGTACCATGACCATTATAAAAGAGACCAGCATCAGCAAGAATATCAAATGATGGATGAAGTGATACAGATGGCCATTGTTTAAATGTATTTATTCTTTCGGGTAATATTGCCATTGGATGTGATGATGGTCGAACTTGTTCACGACGTGGTATTGACTCAACAATAGGTGACAAGGGTGTTGAAATTTTACAAGTAAATAAGATAAAAACACAATTTGGGGATAGATATTTATGAACTTTATATGGATCATGCCGATGATTCCATCCTGTGCATCCTTTTTTACAATACAAACAGACACTAACTAATTGTCCATCTTCATTATGAACAATAAGCCAACCCGCATCTTTCATTTTC